TCTGGGATGGATACATAACGGAACTGCCTTCTTTGAGGTTAGGTCCACTGTAACGTCGTTCACCGATATTATTATAACTGAACACGGCGTCAAAGCCTGCTGTTCCATAAAAGACGGTGGATTTCTTAATTATCTGAGCGAGTATCAGTTCTTGAAGGACTGCGTTTCTAGGAGTTCATCTGTTAAATAATCCTATGAACCGTGGAGCGTAATAGAAAAAGATGTCATTTAAAATGAAACTACTGCAAAGCGAAAGAATAACATATGTGATTCCTCAGGTTCTCGCGGCGGTGGATATGCCGATGTTCTGTGTTAACGTCTTGCGGTCTTAAAGGCTGAATGTGGAGACTACTTTTTTCCCCAACTGTTGGTATAATCGGCGCGGTAGTTTTTGGCCCGTGGAGAAGCTGGCGGACGGGCCTAGCCTGTGTACCTGAGGTGGCGCGGTCAGCGTATTTCTTTTGTTTGGGCGTTCAGTCACACAAGCTCCTCGGTGCAGTCAGTGACTCGCTCCTAGCCTTCCCCTTGAAAATTCCACCGGCCAAAAACTACTCCGCCGACTATATCTACCTACACAGGAGACCGACATCTACGACATTAATGTTGGTTATCCTTGTTATGTTGTACATTATTTGATGTGCCTTACGATTTTGAACTTTCCGTTTTTAGAAGATAGCTGTCTCCTTGGCTGTAGAGCCGTGTAGAAGTTTATCGACGTTTCAGAGTTCCATGCTGCCTCCATCTTCAGGGCGCCCTGATATTGTGAACTTCAAATCCTCCAGTATGTATTTAGTGTTCCGCCAGGTGAAGTGTTAATAAGGTTGAGACACATAAGTTAACAACATGGCCCAGGGCGAACAGAATGGAAAGTTTATGAAATTTTGTTAACCCTGAGGATTCTTAAATAAAGTTTGTAAATAAAGCTTTTGTTGTTAATTCAGGAACATTGCGGAACTACTCCAGACTGTCCTTCGTCAGTTGTGTCTGTGGAGTCTAATAAGTATAAAGTGTAGTGAGCCGACCAACTGTTGTAACAATGCAATTGAGAATCGCAAAGCTAATGACACTTTGGACTCTTGATTTTAGATTTTCGTTTCAAGTGGTTTTGTGTTAATTCATGCGTACTAAATGTCCCACCAATTGTATTGTCCTTGATCTGATAATCGTATTGTAATCGTAATCGAAATGTGCCATGAACAAGTACATCACATTCCGGGTCCTAAAACTTTCCTCAGCGAATCGTATCTCATCTGGGCTTTTCACATATGACAGGACTACTTTAAAACGCGTACTACACTTATCACTATCAGTGACATTTGAGTAGCATTTCAGGGCGAAACTTGTTTACAGGACTGGGTTATCGGTCAATATAACGAAGTTGTATGCCAAGCAAAAACCATTTATCGTACCTAGATATATTATATTTATCTCTATAAAGGCAAGTGGAGGTATCACTCAATTCGGCCGTGGCCTGCTATGTACACGCACTTCTATACAACAAAGAACAGGCATTGTATATGTATAACCTCGATGTAAGATTTGTGCTAATTTTTCTTTTTTCACAACATTCATTTTAATTTTGACATGCCGCTTTATGGAACAGTGCGCTGGAACAAAGTACACTTCTGTCATCCATACTCCTATACATATTAACGCTTAGCGGCTTCTGGGTTGAAGCAAAGATACATAACTAACTAACTAACTAGATGGCTTACCGAACCCGAAGGTTCATCACCAAATTAACCAAAGCCCTCCACCGGACCCTGTCCTGGGCCAACAAAATCCAGTCAACTTCAACTTCTATCTCCCAAAGATCCCGCCTGAGTTTATCCTCCCATCTACGTCTAGGTCTCCCCAGAGGTCTCTTCCCCTCAGGCTTCCCAACCAATACCCGGTGCACACCTTTTGTCCCATCCATGCGCGCTACATTCCCAGCCCATCTCATTCTTCTCGACTTAATCACCCTGACAATATTGGGGGAGGAGAACAGATTTTTAAATGAAGCAAGGAAACATTATTATTTAAATTTGTACACTCTGCATTGTTACGCTTTAATGGAATGTATGCATATTTAAGTACTATTTTCGATTTTCTCTTCAGTTTTGTGGGCAGTTTTGTACCTATATGAAATTGTATTATAGCTTTTTTTAAATTTTAATTAACCATGCATTGTACCTCCATTATTCAATAATTGAAGACTGAAGGTATTTATTAGCTTTCTTAAACCTGGTACAGTGTAAAGCCAATTAAAGGTACGTTTCAAAAGGCACTTAAAATCCGTAACAGGCAGTTCTGAGAAGAACGAACAGTTAAGTTGCAACTTGGAAGGAGCCTCACGAAGAAACAGCTGGCAAATCGATTTCGTCCATGCAGTAGCACAGGTAAAATACGTTTTTAGCAGGCTTTGGGTGGGAGGGTGTGAGTATGAATTATGGAGCCATTGATCAGGCCACTCACAATGCTTTCTGATTAATACACTCTGCAAATAATTGTCAGTCCATTTCCGCTACGCTCGCAGGTCGAAGACTGTCTTTCCGTCTTGTACACGTTTCTTGGGGCGAACACAGATTATTGCAGAGAATGGAAAAAGAGTCCTGAATTTCACAGTTCCGTGCGTTTTATGTAATACCTTACTCTGAATACAGTGTGCCTGTCCTCTGTTCCAGCGCCTGTGATTTTCTTAAGCCGTGTATCGGCTGCCGCGCGAGGCAGTGTTCGTTGCTTTGCCTCTCAAAGTCGATACCATGTTGCCGCGCTCGAACTTGGCGCATGTCGAGCCAAATCGGAGCGGTTCTTTGTCCCGCGGCAAAGCGATTTCAGTGTGCTGTGCTCTCTCAGCTCACGGCTGCCGCCCCCGATTCTAGTAACCACGAACACGGTTTTAAACATAAACAAACGAACGAGTTTGCCGCGCATGAACAGCCGCGCGCAGTCGATACACAGCTTAAAAGTAACGAACTTCAACCGCAGCGGACTCAGTGACGCTGCAGGTCGCACGCGGGAGCCGGAGCTGTATGTGAGTTGCATGTATTCGATATGGCGATGTCCGAGAAATCTTTTGACACAGAGTTGTTCATTATGGAAATTGAACAACGACCAGCACTGTGGAACAGCGGTATGAAGGAACATAGTGATAAAAATATAAGAAAAACTTTGTGGGAAGAAATAGTGGAGAAATTCGGAGGGGACGAACAGGATGTGAAAACAAAGCTCTATAATGGTCCTGTGTGAACACCCCTCTAAACCTCCCCGCAAAACCACGCTCCGGTGTGAATTCGACTGTATAATCTCGACCAGAAACAGAAGTCTCTCGAAATGAATAGTAGTTAGGACGGTACTTTAAAGTCTGTGTTCAGAAAGGCTGCGATGCGCATTGTTTCGTGCCTGATATTGTTAACGGCAGTATTTGAATCCAAGAGACAAATTTTACCCGATTCATGTAACTGTGTTGCTTGACGATCGAAGGGTCTTTGGTCCCTAAACCAATGGGAAAACTAATTCTTCCCAGTCCCATCTATTCACGGTTGTCGGTGATAATATTCTGCGTTGAAACGCCGTGTGGACGTGTAGGTAGATACCAACGTTTTGGTGAAATATACTGTTTCCACCTTTGGGGGTGAAGTTGATAGAGGGAGTGTTCCTCCGAAACATTTGTATCTACCGAGAAGTCTAGACGGCGTAAAACCCATAGTACCAACATCGACATCTCAACCGCCGTGAGAACGCTCGTCATCATCGACAGAGGTTGGGCCATTTTTAAAACGTGAATGCCCCACAAAAGTTTGTGCACGACCCATTGCGGACTCCCCAAATGCTTGCTTTAGGATTTCATAGGTTTCCGTAGCCGTTTTGGCGAGTCTTTGGCAAACTTTGATTTGTTCATGAAAATCCGCCATTCCGAAATCGCAGGAGGGTCGGTGTAATGCACTACCAAAACGCCCGGAAATAAGAAACAAATGCTAATTCGATGATGCCGGCTGGCACACTGATTCACTATGAATGTAGGCCGCACCCCCTAAAGGCAGAAGCTCGTACTACATCCGGTTCGCCCTCTATTGACACAGTCTTGAAACTTTCCGATCGCACCTCGTATGTACGTGGATTTCTACATGTAAATTAGTTAAATGCATTTGTTTTGCCATGGGACCTGGCCTTCACCAACGAAATATTGCAAAAACATATCTCGACAAGATACTGGACGTCTTGTATTTCTTGTGTGATCTCGTGACGTCTCATGTGATGTTGGAAAAGAATGCAAAGTGTCTTCATATCTGATGCCTTCTCTGGTGCGAACAAAGTTATGTAAAACACAACATGCCTTCACGATATCCTATATCTACGTCCAATGGGCGATGGAAAATGCCGAAAGTACACTCGATGTACCTTCGAACTCGGCTTAGCCTATAGTTGAAGATTTTCTTCTCGAGTCTTAAATTGTTGCCGAGATAAGGACGTATCAGGTTTTCCGAGAGAGGGAATACCTCGTCACCAACCAATACATATGGCATAGGTGTAGTATTAGTTGTAGATATTGGACACTTATCTGGGATTTGCAGTTCCTTGTTTATAAGTTTGTGATAAATAGCGGAATCTTTGAAAATTGAAGAATCGCTACACTTTCCGTATGCTCCAACATCAGTGCTGGTGAACTTGTAATCTGCATCACAGATTGCAAGTAACACAATAGAAGAATATCTCTTGTAGTTATAATACAATGATCCGCTGTGAGGTGGCCGATTCTTTCTGATATGTTTCCCGTCAACAGCACCTATGCAGTTCGGAAACTGTGCTTGCTTTTGGCACGTTTCCGCAATATCTTTCCATTCCTCCTCTGTAGGTTCCCGTAAACACACTTCTTTCACCTTGGTCCATATGGCAGAACAAACCTGTCGTATTATTGTTCTGACAGTAGTCTTTCCAAGTCGGAAATTATGGGAAAACTCAGCAAAACTGCATCCCGTGGCTAGATACTTGAAAATATACTTTTTTGTTATTTTCAGGTGTACAGCTACAAAAAAAATGGAAGAACCTCAGAGACAGTTATTTCCGAGAATTAAGACGGTTAAAGAACATACGAAGTGGTGCCGCAGCCCCCAAAAAGAATTCGTACATATATTTTGACCAGCTTCGCTTTCTGAAGGTGGTAGCAGAAAGTAGTCCAACGGCTTCCAATATTAAGCGTCCTACCGAGCAGAAACGTCCATCGTCCCAAACCTACCGCCCCCCTCCAAAGAAAACACGCACTGAAGATTACGTTGGTTTGGAAATGGTTAATGTTTTAAAATCAAGTCTTCAAGCTAGACAAGAAAGTGAACACCATGACTCTGATAAATTATTTTTGTTGTCACTTCTGGATGACTTCAAAAAAATACCAGACTACTCCAAAAGTACGGCGAAAATTGAACTGATTAAGTTGATTCAGAGTTATCAACCAAAATGAGAATTATCCCAATTCACGGACTGCATTCGACAATGCTGCTACCCCCACCTCATCGCACCATCCACAACGTGGTTATTATTCTACCTCCTATCCGGACAGGCCGTCAACATCAGACCACTCCTTGGAACATTCTGCTGTATCGCCGGAAACTCTGTCACAGGGTTCAGTTATTTAACTAAATAATTAACAATTGATGTGTAATAACTGAAATAAATTTTGCATACCTTAAAGTGACCATGAGTTGTTGTTTTTTTCAGGGCGTATGCTCTGGCGAAAATTTGTATCCATTCCTTCTGTTTCCTCCCTGATCAGTAGTACTAGTTGGTCGAACGATTTCACACTCATTCTTGTGTAGTTGAAAAACTTCTCGTCGTGTTTGCGTAAATCATCCTACAGCAGATGGAATGCACCTTTTGTAGAACGTTCCAAGAACATGGGATGTATCCAGTATCGTCGATTTTGCTTTTTTCCGACGAAGGACATGGTAGAACAGTAGGGTTGCTATCTCTTCAACCTCCATTTAGATACTGATAAATGCTTGCCGCGCGTAGTCGCCTTGTGAAAGTCGCGAATTAATAAACCGCGCGCCAAAAGTACGGCGAAAATTGAACTGATTAAGTTGATTCAGAGTTATCAACCAAAATGAGAATTATCCCAATTCACGGACTGCATTCGACAATGCTGCTACCCCCACCTCATCGCACCATCCACAACGTGGTTATTATTCTACCTCCTATCCGGACAGGCCGTCAACATCAGACCACTCCTTGGAACATTCTGCTGTATCGCCGGAAACTCTGTCACAGGGTTCAGTTATTTAACTAAATAATTAACAATTGATGTGTAATAACTGAAATAAATTTTGCATACCTTAAAGTGACCATGAGTTGTTGTTTTTTTCAGGGCGTATGCTCTGGCGAAAATTTGTATCCATTCCTTCTGTTTCCTCCCTGATCAGTAGTACTAGTTGGTCGAACGATTTCACACTCATTCTTGTGTAGTTGAAAAACTTCTCGTCGTGTTTGCGTAAATCATCCTACAGCAGATGGAATGCACCTTTTGTAGAACGTTCCAAGAACATGGGATGTATCCAGTATCGTCGATTTTGCTTTTTTCCGACGAAGGACATGGTAGAACAGTAGGGTTGCTATCTCTTCAACCTCCATTTAGATACTGATAAATGCTTGCCGCGCGTAGTCGCCTTGTGAAAGTCGCGAATTAATAAACCGCGCGCCGCGGCTAGTCGCGCCAGTGGGTCCCTAGCCTTCCTGTTCGCCACCGCGTCCAAACCAGTTGTATGTGCCATCCATCCTATCCAAAGGATACCGCCGATTCTATACGTGTGAAGCTGACCTCTGTTGATACGTGAAGCATAAAGAGTGGAACTTTATTTTACCACAAGAGCACTAGGGAACGAGTTTCTTGTTATGTAATTTTCTCAGTTGTCATTCATTGTCGTAAGGTTTTAAAATCTAATGGTTGAAATATTGACACGAACAAATTCATTCCGGTTATTCTGTTGTTGAGAGTTCCTACCGGTAGCAGCAGTGAGAGAGAGACTCTACATTGCGTCACGGGCGGGACTGTCAACTGCACATGGCATGACGTAATTCGACCCCCCCCTTCTGCAATAAGCTTTGAAGAAAGTTTGTCTTTAAGAGATTGGTCGGTCAGTCATGTGGTTTTATGACTATCTCATGAAGCAGAGTCGTATTTGAGAAGCTGATAATCGCTGAGCTGCTCAACATATTCTTCGCCTTTCATGAAATTCGAAGATTGATTACTGTGTTAACAAGACCCTTCTTCCATATTCGAGGCATTGTGCAGTTTTTCATAGCTTGCTACTTTATTTTAAACCAACACCCAACCAGAAGCTACCCCACCCCTTTGTCGACTGACCTCACCGCTGGTCTTTGTTTCTGGAAGTCTTCATTCGTAACCTGAGGACACTCCATACCATGGTGACCACAGATGAGCTTGACATGGGGCTACATATTATATGGGTGTAATTATATTTTAGTTATTTCTGGGTAACTATATCTGACAATTGCCGTCTTCAGAGGCCTTTGTCCGCGAATGGTCACTTTCAAGAGGACATCATGGTGAAAGTAACGGCCCGCGGGCTGCATCCGAGACCCGGGACCGCTTGTAATGAGATCACGAAATTGTATTTTAATAACGTTACTAATTACTGCACTATAGTTTATTTAATGTACTTCGAGGAATTAAAAAATCGTGATTATTTTTTAATTTATATGTTGATGTTAAGTGCAAGTGCTCATATGCTATTGACTTTAAAACCGTGCCGTAAAATGTAAATTGTGCGGGTAAAAACTGTCAGATACACGCCGTTGCAGGAGGATATTTAAAATAATGTGGAATTCTATAGTAATGTGTAGACTTTTTTAACAGAATTTGCATTTGAGCATATGCTATGGTAATTTGCTTTTTCTGAATAAGTATTATTGAAGCCTCATCGCACCATCCACAACGTGGTTATTATTCTACCTCCTATCCGGACAGGCCGTCAACATCAGACCACTCCTTGGAACATTCTGCTGTATCGCCGGAAACTCTGTCACAGGGTTCAGTTATTTAACTAAATAATTAACAATTGATGTGTAATAACTGAAATAAATTTTGCATACCTTAAAGTGACCATGAGTTGTTGTTTTTTTCAGGGCGTATGCTCTGGCGAAAATTTGTATCCATTCCTTCTGTTTCCTCCCTGATCAGTAGTACTAGTTGGTCGAACGATTTCACACTCATTCTTGTGTAGTTGAAAAACTTCTCGTCGTGTTTGCGTAAATCATCCTACAGCAGATGGAATGCACCTTTTGTAGAACGTTCCAAGAACATGGGATGTATCCAGTATCGTCGATTTTGCTTTTTTCCGACGAAGGACATGGTAGAACAGTAGGGTTGCTATCTCTTCAACCTCCATTTAGATACTGATAAATGCTTGCCGCGCGTAGTCGCCTTGTGAAAGTCGCGAATTAATAAACCGCGCGCCGCGGCTAGTCGCGCCAGTGGGTCCCTAGCCTTCCTGTTCGCCACCGCGTCCAAACCAGTTGTATGTGCCATCCATCCTATCCAAAGGATACCGCCGATTCTATACGTGTGAAGCTGACCTCTGTTGATACGTGAAGCATAAAGAGTGGAACTTTATTTTACCACAAGAGCACTAGGGAACGAGTTTCTTGTTATGTAATTTTCTCAGTTGTCATTCATTGTCGTAAGGTTTTAAAATCTAATGGTTGAAATATTGACACGAACAAATTCATTCCGGTTATTCTGTTGTTGAGAGTTCCTACCGGTAGCAGCAGTGAGAGAGAGACTCTACATTGCGTCACGGGCGGGACTGTCAACTGCACATGGCATGACGTAATTCGACCCCCCCCTTCTGCAATAAGCTTTGAAGAAAGTTTGTCTTTAAGAGATTGGTCGGTCAGTCATGTGGTTTTATGACTATCTCATGAAGCAGAGTCGTATTTGAGAAGCTGATAATCGCTGAGCTGCTCAACATATTCTTCGCCTTTCATGAAATTCGAAGATTGATTACTGTGTTAACAAGACCCTTCTTCCATATTCGAGGCATTGTGCAGTTTTTCATAGCTTGCTACTTTATTTTAAACCAACACCCAACCAGAAGCTACCCCACCCCTTTGTCGACTGACCTCACCGCTGGTCTTTGTTTCTGGAAGTCTTCATTCGTAACCTGAGGACACTCCATACCATGGTGACCACAGATGAGCTTGACATGGGGCTACATATTATATGGGTGTAATTATATTTTAGTTATTTCTGGGTAACTATATCTGACAATTGCCGTCTTCAGAGGCCTTTGTCCGCGAATGGTCACTTTCAAGAGGACATCATGGTGAAAGTAACGGCCCGCGGGCTGCATCCGAGACCCGGGACCGCTTGTAATGAGATCACGAAATTGTATTTTAATAACGTTACTAATTACTGCACTATAGTTTATTTAATGTACTTCGAGGAATTAAAAAATCGTGATTATTTTTTAATTTATATGTTGATGTTAAGTGCAAGTGCTCATATGCTATTGACTTTAAAACCGTGCCGTAAAATGTAAATTGTGCGGGTAAAAACTGTCAGATACACGCCGTTGCAGGAGGATATTTAAAATAATGTGGAATTCTATAGTAATGTGTAGACTTTTTTAACAGAATTTGCATTTGAGCATATGCTATGGTAATTTGCTTTTTCTGAATAAGTATTATTGAAGAGGTTGTGTAGTCTGATAGAAGTTTACCAACGTTTCAGAGGTCCTTGCCGCCTCCATCATCACGTCATAATCGCCCTTGCGATGGAGTCAACTAGGACCCAGAAGACAGCCATAATTGTAAATGTAAAGTTACGGTAAGCAACCGTGGGTAGACATTATCAAAGATAGAAAATGCTTTTCACAAAAGTATAGATGTAAGAGGAATCATGTTTTCTTCCATCCGAGGTTTTTATAAATTTTCTATACAGTAATCGTGGCCGGCAATTTGGGCATTGGAGAAATAAATGAAACTAGATTTGATGATGTCACGGGTTGGATCAGTCGCTAATGTGGCCAGTCGTGGGATGGATCTATTGGGATTTTGGTCATCACTGCGTTCAGAATGTTCCTGGAGCCCCTAAACCCTCCTGGCCAATGACCTTGGCGCTGAAGGGGCCGGAGACTGAAGCCAAGAATTCATTTCCTTTTTGCGCCGAAATTAAGAATGCGCTGATCTTTATCTCCGCTTTCTCACATGAATCGATTGTGTGGTTTTTCAGCAGAGAGGCTGCTTTACAGTAAACCGGCCAAATTTCGATTCAATTTTTGAAAATAGCTGTGCATTTAATGTTATGTTCTTATGTGTAACTGAATACAGTAAAACCTAGTATTGTTTATTCAAAGTAGTACTGCAAAGAAAATAATGAATTCATAGTTCTGTATGACCCATATTACGAGATCATATTATTTGTGATCAATTTCTTGTGACTTACATAATTGAATAATGTATCTGGGCAAGTCCCTTCCAGATATGTGAGTCATGAAGGTATAAATCACAGGTAGTGTACGAGTAAGTGCATGTTCTGACAAGCTTGTTAGCTTGTTGCTACAAATTCGTTACATGTTGAGAGCCTGGAGCTCTCAAATTCCCGTATTGGCTCTGTGTACTGAAATGATGTGTTCTGCAGGAAATGCATTGTATCAAGGGAAATCAAGAAGTCTGATT